GACCTTTTCCTGCCTGTTAGTCTGAAAGCAATATACTTCCATGTCTATTCGTTCAGTATGGACATGCTTCTTATGCTCTGAAATTGATGAGTAGCTTTTGCCACTCTTCCTGATAACTGACACACTTCAGAATACCTCTAATTCTACCTATTTTGCTATTGATTGGTGCTATTTTGATATAAATCCTGCTTAAGTTAAATTCTGGGCATATTACTATTCCGTATTATTTTATATAGTCAGCGTGGGTTTAGTGTTCACTCTTCTCATTGCTTCTCCTCTCTTTATCTCTCAGAATTTTCTGACATGGTGGCATGCAGAATTTCAGGTTTTGGTGTTGTGACGGAACTCAGTTTATTCTTATTCTTGAAGCTGTTTTAGTGGGAACAAGGTTGTCTTGAGAATGACTTCTCCATACAGACATTGGTAAACACTGCAGCTGCTGAGGTAAGAGTAATCTCTTTCCTTAGAACATGTTTTGCTCTGGCTTCCCCCGATATTCTTTAGTAGCAAGGACGTGAAATCATGTGTTGATACATTTCCACACTTGTTAATAACTGTGCTTTGCTCAGATGTGCACACCCAACCCTGTGCCTTCAAAAATGCCCTCTGTTCTCCCAGGCTTGCAGTTTCACTCTCCTGTCTGGATGTGGCTGTATTTTGTCGAGGATTCATTGAGATTTAGTCTTCAGATGGTTGCTTTCCCCAGTTCAGATGAGTCCCGAGGCTTTATGAAAAACAACCATTTACTAGTTGTACAAAATACAGACTTTCCAGACAGGGCTTCATTGTGTCCCAAGCTGGTCCAGTTTGTCATTTTCCTACCTCAGCCTTCATTATGGCATTTTTACAGATGTATACAATGTACTTTGGTTCTTTCAGCTATTACTATCCATGCTTATTGGTCCCATTCCTCATCCTAAACAGGCCCCTCCTCTGGATTCACATGTAAAAAGAGAGTCTCTAAATGAGAAAGAACTTTCATTATTTGTCCAAGCCTGACCTATTTACTTCACATGATGGTCTCAGTTGCATCCATTTTTCTGCAAAAATGATGTTTGTTACTCTGTATGGCTGAATCAAAAGACACTGTGCAAACATATATTTGTTGTTAAGGGAAACCTAAAATGACTCCATAACTGGGCTACTGTAAACAGTGTATCAATAAACATGAGTGTGCATCTACCTTTTAGTAAGGATGGTGACTTTGAGTATATACCCAAGCGGTAAATTCTACTTAAAAGAATTGTATGTTAAACCTCCAAACTCCCATAGTGGCGGCACTATCTTACTCTCCCACCAACAGAGGACAAGGCCTCCATTTCTCCCACTTGCCCAACATCTGTTACTATATCTTGTTTAGTAACCACTCTGACTATGATGAGGTGGAATCTCACTGGGGTTTCACTTTGTATTTCTCTGGTGGCTGAGAATACTGAATCTTTCCCCCATGCATTTATTTATTTATTCATTTATTGGAGATTTCTTTTAAAAAGCCGGTTCAATTCTTACTCTTTTGGGAGTCATCTTGTTTATTTTTGAGTTCTTTGTATACTCTGGATTCATCTCCTGTTAGATGAATAGTAAAGCTCTCCCCATTTTTAGGTCCCATGCAAGTCTGGCTGTTATTCTTGAGCCCCCAAGTCCTACTTAATGTCTTACTGTCTTCCAGTGTGGTGCTTATACTTGCTCTTACATTGAGATCTTTGATGGAAAATACAGTTCCAGTTTTATTTTTCTGCATGTGGGCACCCCATTTTTCAGTATTATTTTTTAAAGAGGCTGTCTTTTCTTCACTGTAGAATCAGGTCACTGCTTGGATTTAATTCCTGAATTCTCAATTTTGTTGGATTGATCTATGCTCTGTGTCAGTATGTCTGCCCGTGTATGTATGTATGTATGCATGCATGTATGTATGTACGTAGTGTCTTACTGAGGGTTTTATTGCTGTGAAGAGAACACTATGACCAAGGCAGTTCTTATAAAGGAAAACATTTAATTGGGGCTTCAGAAGTTTAATTCATTATCATCATGGTGGTAAGGATGGTAGCATGCAGCAGACATGGTGCTGGAGGAGCCAAGAGTTCTACATGTTGATCTGAAGGCAGCCAGGAAGAGACTGGATGCGTTTCACATTGGGCATAGCTTGAACATTTAAGACCTCAAAGCCCCGCCCCTGCAGTGATACACTTCCTCTAACAAGGCCACACCTCCTAACACTGCCGCTCCCTATGTCCAAGCACTCAAAGACATGAACCTATGGGAAGTTTACCTATTCAAACCACCACAGTGTGTATGTGTGTATGTATATATGTGTTGCCTGTGCCATAGTATTTTTTGTTGAAATCTTAAGTTCTTAAAACATATCTCTATCCTTCCACTTTTTTCTGCTTCTAGAACACTCCTAAGAACGATGTTGGGTCTTTTTCAGGTTTTGTTTTGTCTTGTTTTTTGATTTTTAATTGCTTAACTTCCACTTCTTCCTATAGTGAACAATTCCTTCTGACCCACCTTCTAAGTCATTGGGTCCTTTACAGCTTTTGCATTTTTAATTCTCGCATTCTATCAATCCTCATTTCAAGTATTACATCATTTAAAAGCTCATCCCTTGACATATTTCAAAGTGTTTTTTAATTTATAAAGAATATACTAACCTGTCTCATAACTATAGTATTTGAAGCCCCTGCTTTTGTTGGTAGTATTTTGTGTGATTACTCTGTGAGCTGCTCGTACTTCTTAGAACATTATTTTTATAACTCATTGAGGTTATGCTTTTATTTCTACCATCACATAAGGGATTTTGCCCATCCGGTTCTATCTGTGTTCTTACTCCGACATTCTCTTAATATGCAAGGATGTGATAGGGACTGCAATGCCAATTTATTTTTTTCCTTAATTACCTGTTCTGAGTATAAGCAGCTTTCTATGGCACATCCCAGGGGCTGGAGGGGATACTGGCTCATCTTCATCCTGAAGGGTAAGGTAGACTTCTAGGGAGCCTGCTTTAGAGCAGTATCACCTCTGCCCATCACATCCATCCTGGTGCTCAAAACTGAGTAGAGCACATTTTGGTGAATATCTCCAGGTAAAAGTGCCTTTGCTGTCTGATGACATTTCATCTATACTTTTGACCTGGTAATTTCTCTTTTGCTAGTTTAGCCTTCAGGACATCAGCGCAGGCTTGGCGCTGCTTGCCTGCAGATGTCAGCTTCTTTTCATCTTCCTACATCATTTGGTCAGATTTTTCCTTTTGGGAAGGGAGGTTTAGACAGGATTTCACTAGGCAGCCCTGGCCCTGAAATCACCACCTTCCTGCTTTACCTTTTTAGTGCTGAGACCCCCAAGTACACACCTGCTTCTGGATTTCTTGCTTTCAGTTCTTGAACTTGACTTCCATCCCTAACAGCCATGATCTGGGGCATGTGTCAGTGAAATCAGTTAACATAAAAGAGTATGTAAATTGTGTTTATTCTCAAATAACAACTGTTATATAAGAAGAGGGTCCACAGCTTTCAACAAATTCTGGGCCTGTTACAAAACTGTTGAACTACATACAAAGTAATTTTGGACAAGTTAATTCCAGTTTTATTTTTCATCTATATGTGTATGAAATTATTTCAGGAGCTTAGGAATGGAAAGCAGTCTCTGTGTCTGGAGCTTCCTGACTATCTGGACAGGTTGGCTACCCAGTTGGTGTCATAGACACGTCCCCAACTCAGCCAGCCCTTTCTGCGTACTGGGGATTTGAACTTGGATCCTATGCTATTACTTTTCCTCTTTACCTGATGCTGATCAGCAGTATCCTTTGCTTGCTTAAGCTCTGCCACTTAACCTTCAGGAGCTCATTCCAAGTTGGTCTCAGGTCCTGTTTTATTAGTTTGAGATTCCTTTTTCTAGAAAATGTAAGGTAGTGGAGTATCTCAGTTTTGCAGGCTTTAGCTTGTGTGTCAACTACTCAACTCTGCCACTATAGTGATTGTAACTAAAGAATGGGTAGGGCTATGTTCCAATAAAATTATCTACAAACCAGATGGATCTGGCAGTGGCAGGGGTGGGATGGATGTTGCTAACTTCTGCTCCACTCTACACACACACACACACATACACACACACACACACCTCTTACACATGCCTGGAGGCACTTCTGTATCCAACTGTTTCTCCAGATACCCCATTTACTTTCTATACTTAAATGTCCCCAGTCCCCCAAACCCGGTGCCCTCCCAGCATTCTTAGTCAATGCTACTGCCATCCAGAACTGCTGAAGGCAGAACACTGGAGCAGAGTGCGGCAGGGCGGAGGGATCCTGAACACGCCCTCCTCTCTCATCCTCTAATTCTTTGGAGATACCTAGAAGAGGTAGGTCTGGAAATGGCATTTGACACAGAAAGTCAAATTTTACATTTCACTAACAGAACTAAATTTTATTTCCATGTTTATTACATGTTTGTCTTGGATGCTGAGTACATATTAGAACTGACTTAACATACAACTTGGTTGAAAGTTTGATATTCTCCACTGAATGGGTTAAAAAGGAATGTAAAACTATAAAACACTGGTTTAGATCTAAGTTCTAAGTTATGGTAAATACAACAACAAATGTCTTGCTATTTTTCTCTAATTTTCCAAGATGGATTTCACTATAAAAGCTTTTTTTTTTCTTTTCAAGAAAGGAAGGGTTACTCATAAAACCCTTTTTAAGTATAGGGTACAAGTAAGTCTTAACACAAAATCCTACTGTCTACTTAAAGTTATGAGCTGAGGGGGACTAACTAATGTCACCTAAATCTACTGTCATAAATCTGAACCTGCTATTTGCTTTTGTCAGGGGCGGATAGGAAATCTGAGTGTGACACACCATCTAATTCCATTTGACATTCCTGTTAATCATTTGGTGCTCAGAACAGGGACGGTCGGACACTGCTCAGTGACAGAAATTCAAAATCAGTTCCAAGGGTGCCAGAGCTAAGAGAAGTGACTCACTCCACTTCCACACCCACAAATGGAGACCAGTAGCTTTTATTACAAGTTTCAAGACAAAACCGGTATGTTGTGCTGGTAGAATTCATGTGACACAAAAACGATTGCAGTGTGGGACCAATGATAGATTACAGGCGTGTAGCACAGCACTCCCAGACAATTTAGGGTAGTTTTTTGTTGTAGGTCATGTTAAAATCATTTTTTATTTTCTACCATGGACAAGGAGAAGGATTGCTGAAAGTGCATAATGCTTACTGTTCTCCTGAGTTTTAGGATCACTTGCAAAAACTTCTAATTTATCTCATTAGATTATTGATATGCTTTCTCATGTAACCGTTTTGATGATTTATGGCTTTTAAAATTTCACCTTAATAGGAAGCTGTTAAAACTTTTCTAAATCGGGTTTCTAGTATCAGATTCTCAAATGAGAAAGAACTAGAGAAACTTCATAAAAATTCAACTTCCCCCTTCCCAGAAAAGCCAGCATCTCTCTGAAGTGCACAGGCAAGCTCCTTTTCTTAGAAGCTGACACAGGCTAGTCAGCTTTCTTTGTGTGTTTAGTGAACAGAGGTGAACACTCCAGGCTCTGAGGACTGTTTGTCTCTACTGCAAATACTCAACTCTTGCCAGTGAGGTGGGAAGCAGCCTTAGATAGTGTGTAATTACAAATGAAGGAGCAGTGGGAAGCTGGCCTTCAGGGGAAGCTGGCCAACACTGCCTTAGACCCAGAAGTCACCTTCAAGGGACTAGTGTCTTGTTGTGTGCAATGACTGACTCAGGATATCTAGCAGTAAACCACTACAAACATTTTGATGATGAATATTTTAAATTTAGCTAAATCTCTGAATTAAGTAAAACTCTATTAAGGATTATGCTTTCCATTAGGGATAACATCAAGAAATTGCTTAAGCATTAGTTACTGAGGGTTTAATTTAAAATTAATAAATGATGTCCATACAGTTTAATATCCAATTTAATTTTTTTAAAAACTTAATGAAAATATAACAGAATCAAAACATTTAAAATAAGTACACTCACTACCCACTCCAGCAATTCATTTAAGTCATACCAACTATAGAATATGAAAAATAAATTCAGAAGTGTAATTACTTTAAAATACACTACTTCCACTTTTAATATTTTACATTTATGTATATATTCTATAGTGGAAGCAGAAATTCTCTCTAAAAACATTATCTTCTTAAAATCTTGAGGTGCATATTAGAGCCACAGGCAATATCTGACATATAAAATTGCAGAACAGGCCTTTTGAATTTGGCATCACTGGTACAATACAATGATCAAGATCTAGAACTGTACAATGCCTAGACATTCGAGGAAGAAGAACCATTATTCTCTTCAATGTAGAATGACCAATGCATATTCTACAAGGGCAGTGAGATTAGTAATTCTGTTGGGTATATGTCCTGACATAATTTCCAAATGTACAACAACACAAACAACTTTGTTAAGGCCATGTTTTATTTGCTGATTAATGGACAAAAGGCAATGTAATTTATTTTCAAGTATTTTCTTGAAAGTCTGTGCTCATAAAAATCATGAAAAGTTGGAAACAGACTGTTAAATCACTGAAACTTTAAATATATCTTACACAATCTCGTTTGTACAAAAATACAAGTTAAATATAAACATAAAGCAGTCATGGTAATTTTATGCAAATCTGTTTTATGTGATCTGTAGTTATATATAAAAGTTTCTTGGTTCTGTTATTTGTGAAAAGATCAACACCAGATTACTATCTATTAGCAAAGGGCCCTAAAAAGCTTACTTTAGCATTAATCTTGTACATGGTTATAAGTATTTTCTAATTTGAGATCATCTAAACACTGAGAAAAAGAAAATAAAAAGGGCAGTATGTCCATAAACCAACAAATAATCTGGCTGCAATGTATCATAAACACAAATCCACACATCTGTACAATGAACATGTTATTACACACCCACACACACACCCACACACACACACATCCGTGCATGTATGTCTACACACACTGCACACATAACAACCAGGCCAAATACAGCCTAATGAGGCGCCACATCCTGTTCGATATTCAGCTGTGCATTTTTTCTGACTTCATCAAATGAATAGCTTTTTGTCACCTTTCCATTCTTGAAAACCGTATGAAGAAGATCCTGCAGAGCATAAATTTTGTAATTAAAAAGACCATTAACAAATATTCAAATCATGCTTTGACGAATTTACCTAAAAGGTCAAAGATACAAAGCTGTTCAGAGTGTCAGCTTACAATAGTGAGATTGTGATAAAACATTCTTAGGCTGGTTTTCTTAAAAGGAGAAATAAGACACCAGATACCTGATCTTTTCTACTGTTGAAGAATCCTATTTGCTTGGGAGAAGTCTAAGTGGTCCTGGTAACCGCCACTCAACAGAGCCTGGTCAACAGCCTCAATACTGTCTAGACCTGCCTATCTACAAGTTTAATGTTAGCCATGAAATTTTCGCCTTAAAATCAAACGGGACTTGCGTTCCATTCATAGTGAATGACACAGAAAAAGACCCTAACTGCAAAGAGAGGAGCTGGGTGTCTGTGGAGGGGCTCCCCATTCTGAAGAATAGGGGAGGGGAGTGTGGGAATGAGGATGGGACTGGGAGGAAAGGAGGAAGGGGCCTATGACTGAGATATAAACTGAATTAATTAAAAAAAGAGAGAAAAGGAAAAAAAAAAAAAAGAGACTCTATCTGCAAGTCATGGAGAAATCAACAGAGGATGAAGACTGAATTTCCCTTAGGCCCTGAAAAGCCTAGTTTCTATATGAAAAATCCACTTAAATTCATCTTAATTTTCTTTCTTACAATACACATGACATTAGCTGGTATCTTGTGTTCTCTAAATTAGTCTTCTAGATGTAGCATTTGCTTTTGTAAGTTTCAGTATAACCTCCTGGAGAAGGCTGGTTTCTCTGTGTTAACTAAAATGTTTCCATGCTCAGAGACTGCCATCGTACAGACTGGACAGAAGCTCTCAGGTGCTGTTCACATTCATGTTTCCTTTGACTTCTCTCAACTGGCTTTGCTTCATTTGATGACCCAATAAGCAAAACCTCGGCTGCTCCAATTGTTATGTGAAATCTACTCAATGAATTGCTGATGGGCTACACAAAGAGATTTCATTCTAAAAGCCTCATCTACAAGTTCATATGATTTTCATAGAAAGATTATTTTATTAATTCCAACCCCAGATCTTATAAGACATAATACAATTGTCGTAAGCAGTCCAATCTGCACAGTACTAAAGCATCATAATAAACATATCATAAATGTGTGTTTATGCTTCAAGACTATACTCATGAGAAGTTTTTCCTCTCAAACTCAATCTCTCCTCCCAGCTAGTGGCTTAGAGACCTTTTAAACTTTTAGTACACAATGGAAGTATACTTATGCTGGAAATCACCAGATCACAGGGCCTACTTCAGCACGGACAACTCAGTTAGGGCTTCCCCATTTGCCAATCATGTACTCTGAATAACCCACTCCATTTCTATGATACCAAGACAACTAAGACAACTGCTTTTATTTTTTAAGATCAGAATTTCCTGAGACTCAAATAAGACTAGAGAAAACCTGAAGTGGTTATTTTATGTTGTAAAGAAACAATTCCTTTCGAAAAGTTTGAAATTTGGCTAGTTGGTCTATTATAAAATTACAGTATATTACTATAATATATATAGTTATGTGAAGTTCAAGAGCACAAGTATTCTTTGCTCTGCTTCTCCAGAAATTAGTCACTGCCAGGAGACAGTAAGATTAAGACCAAATATACAATATCCTGTTAAAGGCCATTAATATCTATCACGTTAGTCACTGTAGAAAAAAACAAAACAAAATAATATTAAAGCCAGAAAACTGTTCTGAAAACAATTTTTTAAGTTTAACACAAAACTCCATTTTCTTAATTTGAAAAGCCAGTTTACTATTGTTTTAAATCTCCGGTCAACAGATACTTACGTGGCCATATTCCTCAAGGTCTCCTTTTCCTTCCTCAAGTGTAACAAAGTTCCCTGCTGGTGTCCTATGTAGAGATAACCGGCCCTTTTTTGACCTTTTGTTGGGATCAGCAACTGGGTCCTTAAAGACATTAACCTGAAATCCAAATTAAGTGAAAACCGATAAATCATCTTCCACCAGAGCTCAATGCTAGAGCATCTCACGTGCTCACACAAGGCCTTGGGTTGGATCCCTATAGCTAGAACCATTTTTTTTTAAAGTGTTATATACAAGTTTTAAAAGGTTATAGTGTTGTATGTGTAACTGCATCAGTCTACAATCGCTGTTAGAAACATAACTCAGTAATTAGCCTGTTTTCCTTCAAAATATCATGTTATGGAAACCAAAATCTTGGATATCTTTTACAGGGTAATTTGGACAGATGTGTATTCACTACGGTATTTAAGATCCCTCTGTTTTCATTATTTCTCACATTTACCTTAGTAAGAGCTCAGAGGGATGGTGCTGGCATCTAATCCATCCAGGACCACACTGCAGGACCAGGACTCATAACAATGACAAAAAAGATTTAAAGAATCTGAATATGGGGAGGGCCTCCCCTTTTCTGAGGAAAATGGGAGGAGCGAGGGTGGGACTGGGAGGAGAGGAGGGAGGAAAAGTGTGGGAGGATGAGACTGGAAGGAGGAGGAAGGGGGCTGCCTTCTGGACATGAACTGGATAAATAGATAAATAAAGACTCTAAAGACAGTCCAATGTCTAGGATCAGAAAACAAGGGGGCAAACCACAGATGGCACCAGCAGTGGCAGTGGCATGGAAGAGCAACAGCTAAGATGGTCTCTGGCTTTCCCCAAAGAGAGGTGGAGGACAGGACACAGGCTCTCTTCAGGGTTTTATTTATACTTGCGGTGCCTGTGCGCGAAGGCGGTCCAAGTACAGCTCTGTGGCATTGGTTCTCTCCTCCACACTTCTAGTGAGTTCTGGGGATTGAACTCTGGTTCCCACACTTGTATGGGAAACACTTTTGTCTGCTGAACCATCTTGCCTGCTCTAGCCCCTCAGGGCTCTTAGCTTTCCCTGACCCTTACTTCACAGACTCCTCAGCCTTTAAGAGGCGATGAAAGATGAAAGGGATGGCTGCTTAGCTACACTATGGCTCCCAAACATGATTCTGGTATCAAAACCAGAAGCTCAAACTCCACTCTTGGAATAGTAATTCCATACTTGATTACCTTCAGTAATTCAATGGCCAGGTTAGCTGACAATCTTACCCAAATAGAACCAGCTTCTTCATGCAAAGGCATATGCCAAAACAATGGTGGTAACTGACCAATACCATTCCCTTAAATCATTCAGCTTATTGGTTTCCTCATCTCCTTTGTTACTGCCTGACATCTTTCTCTCCCATCAACACCATATTGTGTTCATTGACCATGGCAGTCCCTATACTTGTCACAGATACATGGAAGTAACAGGGAAAGAAAAACTGAAGGACATACCCCAAGGCCATTTGTTACAACATAGCTACACTTGAAGGAGCAATTCAAGAGGTCTCTCGTTAACTTCTGCAGCAAAGCTCCGCCAGAACCAAAGGCAACATTCTCAATACTCCATTTTTTTTTGTTTCATTCCCTCTACAATCTAGAAGATTAAAAACAAGCAAACAGATGGTCTGGAAAATGATGAAGGTTATTCTTAAAGACAATACAGTAAAACTCTACGGTTGCTTTGTACCAGTTAATATTCAGATAAGCCTTGCAGATAGTATAGTGCACATTTTCTTTCCACAGTCCCACTTAGGACAAAAAAAGGCAGGCTGAAATGGGTGTGTGGAAGGACGGGATTTCACTTGCAGTTTTTTTTGTGTATTGTCATTGTGACTGGGCTGTGGGAGTGAAGAGTAGTGAGAAATTCGCTCCTTATACCTAAGGCTTTGCAATCTCTCTCTCTCTAGCCACCTCAAAGCTACGGTCAGCCATCAACAAAAGCTGAAATATGACTACCCCCAGGGATTTCTAATTGTCACGAATCATAGTACTGTGTTACTACATGCAGGTTATTATATGCACAGCTAGTGACTGTGTGAGTCAACGGTTCCTGGCAGGAGCATGTAATACTCGTTTACTGTGATAGCAGTGACACTGCCTGGTCATAAGCAGGCACATGCAATCCAGTCACAAGCAGGATTATGAACGGTGTTTTAGGTGTTGGGACTTATGACTAGGTCACTTGAAAGAATAATTATTGAAATTCACTTCATTCATAGTCCTCTCAGTGAAAACTCTGTCGTTAGGGGGCCTGAGACACCTGTAGGACTGGGTTAACACCTTGGCTGGAGGAGCAGAGTGGGGTGGCTGTGACCACCACTGCTAACACTCTCAGTAATACTCAGGTGGCAAGAAGGTAGTTTAGTTCAGCACAACTAAGTAGTTGATTCAAATTTCAAGAATCTGACCGCAAGTACTTTATTTTAGGCATATCTAAGCATAGCACAATTCGGAGGTTTTTTTTTTTTTTTCGGTGATACTAATTCGATCCTGTTTGTACAATAAAGCTTAGGACACTCTTTGTAAAGTACACCTGACATCTTCCATAAAGATGGGGTCTATAAACTGCCATAAAGATGAGTTCTGTAGGCTGGCAAGCTTATATAGTGAGGGTCTGGAGGAGGATCTGCTTGGTCTCAGCCACACAGAAAGTGCAGAAGTCACTAGGCTATCAACATATCTGCTCCCAGCTGTCTTGGCAGAAAACAGGTTATGTAACTCTCTCCCTTGGAAGAGACAGTCCTGTGTTTACATTCCTGGTTCCCTCGTGCTTATCTGTGAGCACAAGACGGACACCACAATAGGCACAAGAGCAGATATGTATAAAAGCTAAAGGAAGCATTTTATTAAATAAACTGTATGTTTTGCCTTAATTCTTACTGAAAAAAAAAATTTTTTTTGTTTAAAAAAACACATAGAAGAATTAGACGGTTGGAATTTTTAAAATGATTGCATTTCTCATTGTTGGATTAGTAGCACATGATGCTATTTGGGGTTTTGATTCTGTTTACAAGGTTGAAAAGATCAATCTGAGACAGCATTTGGCTCACAATTTCAAGTTACAGTCCCTCACCGTGGAGAAGTCAAGAGAGCACAGGGCTCAAAATCAAACCCAAGGAATTGTGTAGTCCATATTGGGTATGTCTTCCCACCTCAATCAGTGTGATCAAAATACCACCACAAGCTGACACACCAACCTGATCTAGACAATCCCTCAGTGAGACTGTTCCCAAGTGACTCTAGAGTGGCATGCTGACAATGAACACTAATTCTTAGACCTACTTTGAGCTCTTCCTACAAAAGCCTTTATTTCTGTTTGTCTTCAGAATCAAGACAGATGGGGGCTACTGAGGCCTGGAGAGGTATGCTTTGGCTACCATTTCAGTACTTTAAGCTACTATTATTTCTAAACTGTAAGCACACCAAGGGCATTTACCATCAAAAATATTTGAAAAGACTCACAATTGCATTTAAGTTTTAATAGGCTGTTTATGAATAAAAAGGAGGTGTTTCAAGAACAGGCATTTCCTTACTGAGACACTCAGGTAAACACATACCTCTTGTAAAGTGTTGATATCCACTCCATCTCCTTGAATGACTCTGAGATAAGGTGGCAGCAATTTGTAGCCCTTTGAGTTCTCAGTAACAGGAAACTTCTTGCCTAAAATATCTAAGACCTGAATGAAAAACAAACACACACACATGACATAAGTAACTAAAACTGTGGTGGAGGAGAGTATGCTTCCCAAACTAAAGAAGTATTTTTCTTTGTTAAACATTTTTGAGAATAAAAAAAATTCAATTACTTAATCTTATAAAGTTTTATAAAATTTGGTTCCAATACCTTCTAATCACATTAGAAACAGGTGTGTCTTTTCCTATTCAGTCAATTTATATCACTAAAATTACACAATGTTCTTTCCTTCACATCTTTCAAATTATACAGATTCAAGGAAAAAAAATCCCTAATGTTAAAACAGCATGTATTTTAAAGAGTATAAGGCACGGCATGACAAACTCATAGTTACGCCTTTGACTGGGGTTTATTCTGCTTGTGGCCAACAGTTCTGCTTGGTTTACATCTGTCTAACATCTGAGTCACAATGCTGAGAGAAAATACAACCACCAGAGTAAGATGGAAACAAAGCATATACAATGTATAGTTGGTCCAAAGCTCTTGGCTCCATTAAATCTAACTCCTGTAATACGTAAGCCATGCTATCTGATGACTGCTGCTCAGGACTGTATAGCAGCTCACACTAACACAGATTAGAACTTGCTCAGGAAAACTTGGTCTGAGACACAAAAGACCTATAGGATCCCCCCCCACACACACAATAATTACTTCATTTCCTGACAGAAATTAAAGATCCTAATAAAAATATTCCATATAAATTTGTTCTTATAACCATCACAATGGAAATTTAAAGTTGTTTAGTTTGTCAGAAGTAAAATGCTTCAGGCTAAGGCACCAAGACTGGGCTGTAACCTATGGTCCCACATCCTAGAGTGAAGTGACATGCCATCTGCTCATGAGCTGAAAACAGTTGTACAGGGAGACAGAGGCCCACACTGGATACCAGGGCCCTATTTCCACATTTCTCAACCTTGGCAGGTAATTTCCTCCTTTACAACAGAAGACCTACCAGAGGTTTTTTTTCTTTTTTTAAGGATTAAAGAAAGCGTTTTGGTTTAGATTACCACATGGTAGTTCTCTAGTAGAAGGCTTCAATGAACTCCTGCTGTGACAAATACTTTGTAAGAAAGGCAAATCGGGCCCTGAACAGGCCTTTCTGCTTATTAAAGGAGCAGTATTATCTCCAGTCAGGCATGACTTGAAAATAGTTTTGAATTATCTGTATTCCTTATTACCCTGAACACACACCTTCTGTACTGACAACTTCAGAACTGTGATTGCTAATAAGTGGAATAAACCACAAGTAAGTTGATTAAGATGGTAATGCTACTAATTCTGAAGGCAGACAAGGAAGTATTCAGCAGACCTTAGTTGTCTACTTGACAATGTATAAATAAGCTAACCTTTATGTCCTTTCTCTGTAATTAATGTGTAACCTTGGGCAAATCTATTGCTCTGTCTCTGGGTTAAACCTTGAAGAAACAAGCCTTTCCTCAGAGCACACAAATGAGCAGTGAAGTAGCCAGTGCCCAGGCACCCTAACAATACACACTGCAGTTCACCTTCAACACAGTGTCAAGTGGATTTCCAGAATCAGGTCTGATGATGAGTGGAGCCTCTGTACTTCTCGACACTATTAGATGTCTCAGGTCTTCACCCCATATTTTCTCACACGCATTATAGATGTCATAGCTGTCGCTGACCACAGACACAGGCACTGATGAGAACTGTGTTACTATATGTTCAAAAGCATCTTTTTCATGGTCTTTTCCCCAAGCTGTTATGGTACTAGAAAACAAACCAAAAATACAGATTTTCTTAGGCAGACACACAACCTATTTCTTAAGCATCATTAACCATATTATCAGTATAACTGGGAAGGGGATCCAGTTTAATAAGTGCACATCAGAAGGCAAATAAACTACTCCTTGTCCAATTTGTTTTTAACACCACAAGTTAATTATATTCAGCTTAGCAGTTATTATTACTTAGCTCTTAAATCAATAATTAATCAGTAATAAACTGGTTTTGTTTCAGCATCCCTCAATCTACTCAAAGTCAGTGAACACATGCAGCCTTCCAGGATGCTGGAATGGGGGAACCCATGCTCCCATTTTCGCTTGGCAATGCTAGCACCTGGGTCTTTTCTATGAATCTCTGGAACTGAATATCAAGTGACTTATCTGTCTTTTCTACCTTCCAAAATATTGTACTTAGAGGCAACTATTTATACTTTCTTATGGCATCATTATGGCATATACAATCAAATAACTGTAACTATACCTGTTATATCTTAAAATGCCCAGTAATAGGCAGTGATGCAGTTTACAACCTACAGGTTCTTTACTTACAAGTATGTGTTCAAGGAACAAGAATCGTAAGAGTTAGTTTGAGCACAATGTAATTTAAGACAGAAAACAAAATGTAAACACTTCTTTTAGGAGAGAATGACTCGTGGCCTTGCCATAGGCCCACAGACCAAGCAAGCAAGAGCAAACCCTGACACTACGAGTCATATTTTGTTCATCCTTTAAGAAGATTTTCTTCTCAGGTATTCCTTGATAAGGATGAAAAGGCAACTAGCAGAACTACATTCCTTTAACTCACAAACTGTCATTTTATATTATTCTTTTTATCCTAAAGGACTAAAGTAAATACCTTTTCCCCGTCAGTGGCTGTTAGGAGTAGCTAGCAGGTGCATCTGAGGACTATGAAACTACACTCACTGAAATTGAGACAGGGCCTATGTATACAAGTCACATCATAGTGAACATTCTTACAAACCAATAGCTATGCTATCAAGTCTCTGCCTCATGCAGTTGTTTGCACGCTACGGGGAAGACACAGGTGAGAAGCACACTTTCATTGCAACTGCTCCTGTCTTATGTCAGAGAATTAAGCTCAGTGTTCACCAACCCTGAAGAAAATCACGCTGTAAGAACAAAGCACTACAGTTTTATGTAGCTTCTGTAGCTCCTACTGACTAAGTCTGTACTGACAGTCCCAAGTTTATGTGCACAGGTCTGTTACCCACTGTCAGTGTCATCATCAGGGTGAGTTTCAGTTCTTAGCTGCTGAACTTTCCTAATGCATGTTCTCTTTCCCTTGACGTCGATGTCACCGTCCACATTTCAGTATTGTGGAATTTCTTCATTTCTCTGCTGCCTCTCCGTTCTCCTGCCATCGAATCGGGAACCAGCCTCTCTGTTATAGACCGGAACTCTTTACACACTCCACAGACACATGGAATGTGACTACTGCACAGCAGGAGCCAAATGCCTATTTCCCCAGGACAGCATTTCTATTGAGCAGTGTCACATCTGTTCAATGACTGCTACTGATGCCATCACTCCAATTCAGATTAGGCTCACATCTTTCTAGTCTGAGAGAAAAAGGTGCATAACTGAATTATTTTTATTTCCAGACTCCAATTCTCTAAGGAAATATTTACAATAGCAGTAATGATTTAGAGCTATTCTAGATGTTAGCATTCATCCTAACAGCCATCTGGTATAAAACTATAGCTTCTCCTTTTGTGTGGTAGATAGAGAAAGGGAAGCCACAAGAGAAGAATGATGTGCCCAAGGCCACCTACTGTTTCAGCTGTTAAGTCAAGTGGGCTTTTAGGCAAACACAAAAAATATTATGGGACCATAAAATACACTGTCCTTTTCATTTAACGCAGGAGCTCTAATAGACTCTCCTTGTCTTTAGACTCACTGTATATCATATGCTTATTACTTCAAAGCCTACTTAGCTGAGAGCCTACTGTGTCACTATGTTAAAAAATTAAGACGTGTATAGACTAAAACTCCAAATAACTTTTATCACTTAACAGCCATAATTTCCTGTTTCCTAATATTGAAACTTTATGAAAAAGTTCTCAAATGGCCTTCCCACATAGCAATGTCTGTAATGTTAGCTAAATGTACTCTCCCGAATCACAGTTCAAATGATCTGTTTTAGTAACTTTATCTCATGTTTATCGACTTCTTTGCATTCATTTAGCCACCCAGCTTTGGACCTAACCTACTATTTCCTAGAAAGCCTAGCTTCTAGTTTCTAGCTTCTATTTTCCTTCTATCCAAATAACCTAAAATCTATTCCTAATGTATCATTTCCTCAAAACTTAAGGATTTTCTTTTTGAAAATGTCTAATTCATAAGTAAGCTAGAGCTGAATATAATCACAGCACTTTGGAAATGGAGGCAGGAGAATTACATACACACACACATACACACACACACAAATACATACATAACAAGTTCGAGGCCAACCTGGGCTACATGAGATCCCGGGCTACATAAGACCCTGTATTAAAAAAACAAACACACAAGCCAGCCTAATGTGCACACAACATTCAGCATTAAGGTTATGAATAAATTAACCTTCACCCAACTTTGCAATCTATTTTAAACATAGCTATTTTAGCCCTTAGTCCCCTGAAGCATGCACACACTCTAACCATAATGCTTGATAAACATGAAAAGGTACTACTCAGAAAATGCTCACTCAAATGTTAGTGTTCCCTTAAGAAGTCAAGATTTCACATATTATCTCTATAAAAGCTTTTTTGATCTGGCCAATGGATATAAACCTTCCTCAACTTGTTTGTGGTTACAACAAGCACCCAAATTGTACTCTTTAAATAAAAATGCTTAGCAAACAGAGCAGACTGTTACTGGTGCACTATTTTTATCTTGGGGATCAGCTTGGTATCTTTCTGCCTCCTGCAGCACCCAGCAGACTGCCTTGCACATGAAAGCTGGTGAGTTACTGTGTCAGAATGGTAAAGCTCAGCTTATTCTGTACTCAACGTAGACAAGGTTTGACACACTTACTACATATGCTGGTGACTTCAGAGAACTCTAGAACCAGACTGGCTGCAGCCTGGATTCTAATCTTCTAGTGTACCTTGAGATGATTTAATAAAAGCAAATAAGCAAGCATAGAACCAGAACACCTTTATTATTTATTAAAATATCTTATCTAGAATTGAAGATACTAGGTCCAGATGACAATTGCCAGGGCAAAACTAGGTGAGATCACACAGAAAAGCAGGGGCAAGTAACCAGCACATTCAGCACTTCTAGTCTTTACTTAATGAAGAGGAATTTATCTGCAGAAGCAATGCAGTAAATGAAAAACCATTCCTTAAAATACATCAATATGGCAATTGTTAAGTGTTCGGAAAGCTCTTCAGTTCTTTTACTAGAGAGGTTAAAGAATCCTAGTCCTGCTGGATACTAGTCTTGTAAAAAGTGTGAAAAATCTGTACTGTCCATGAGAGTTTATTTAGCATCTGGCTTGGCTGTCAAGTAAGGTGTTGCTGAGTTGCAAAAAAATTCAAACAAATTTTAGACAGCAATTTTTTGTTTGCAGGCCCATAGATAGAAAGAACCCAGGGCCTTATGCATGCAAGACAAGTGTTCAAATAGCAAACACAAGGATGAGAACAAACTCAGTTTTACCTGTGCTCTGCTGCTGGAACAGAATAGCCTGGAACAGGATCTTTTGTTCCGTAGTACTTTTTAATTAGAGCAATTCCCGCCACTGTATCTGTTCCTTTGAAATTAACCAAATGAGCAGATGCCCCTATGCCAGCAGTCTGGAAGATCAACCACAAACCAAAATTCAAAACAGGAAGATACACCCCACTCGCCTCATCCCATTTCTCACCAGTTTCTTTAACCCTGTACTTGTGCTGCTCTGCACCAGGATTCGCTGCACCTGTCTGTCTACCCTCCATCTAATACATAAAGAACTGGACCATCTCATCTGCTGAGATGTGTCTTTTCTATGCACTGGGAAGAGGACACATAACAGGTATTTAGTTATCTGCTGACCACACCTCCAGAACCGCAAGAAATGGCAAACTCTGTCCCGGTGATGTTTTGAGAAGTGGACAGCGAGTGGCCTCTCACTGTACTAGTTTAGTGTAGACTCAGGTATTTGAACACCTGGTCCCCAACAGGTTGTGCTGTTTGGGGAGGCTTAGGAGGTACAGCCTTGCTGGAGGAAGCCCATCACTGGCGGAGGCTTCAAGGGTTCCAAGCCTCACTGCACTTCAGTTTTCCTACTCTGCTTCATGCTTGCATTTGAAAATGTAAGTGCTTGGCTTCCTATCCCCACCGCCACACCACCCTGCCGTGGTGGCTCTCACAACTGTCTTCCACCTGCTGCTTTTGGTAATGACGTTTTCTCCCAGCAAAAGAAGCAGTTAATACAACACTGACAATCTACACTGTCTTTATGAGACTCATTTTGGTTGCTCACCTCTTGTGAAGAGACTCCTCTGTACCCGAAGTCATGTAACTTATATTCCAGACCATCTAAGTTACCAGAAGTTTCTAACAAATATTTGGCCAGTATTTTCTTCTGCTCTCTTGAATTTGTGGCCACTGTAATTGGATACCAGGACTGAACGAGAATAGTCTGTAACAAAAATTAAGCACATTATTAACATAAAATATTGGGCTCCTTCTGGGGATCTCACAGCTTTCTTCAGGACCTCCTGTGCCTCTGACCTCTTAGGAACCAGGCGTCTCTCTGAGGGCGGCAGGGGGTGCACTGTAGATGCAGCTTGTTGCTCTTCACTGTGAGCTCTCTGAGCCCGAGGAGACAACTCCACACAAGTTTTGATTCAAAGCTCCAAAGAAGCATATAATGTTTTGAATGACCTATGAAGGATCAGTTCATGTTGCGGCACATCACCCTAAGTTCCTAAATGGTTATTCTGGATTCTTTATGTGTATGGATCTGCACCAAGCAGGCCCACAAAACAGCTCTGATTTATGCACGAGACTCTAAGAAGTACTTATTTAAAGTGGTCAGGGCTTTACTCCTTTAGACTAACTTGGTTCTAGAGGAGCTACCTGATATAAGAGAATCTGTTTGAGACCCATGCTTAGCACCCTGAGCTTTTGTCAAAGAAAAAGTGGCGTGAAGTACGTATGTGAGGAAGTGCTGCTAGAATTGTGAGATTCTTACTTTCTAGTATAAACAGTTCTGCAGTTTCACTATTTTCTTGGCTGCCAGAAAACTCCAAATTCAGGCTGATGTGTAACCACTGGAATCACTCTAGTTAATTTGGCTTGAGAATGTACTACTTCAGTCTAGGATGTTAAATTTCCATTTTTACTTTCAAGTTCCCAAGCTTAATAGTATATTATCAGGAGCAGCTTCCAATCTACTTTGGAAAAAGCTAAAAGATATCATTACTAAAATGGGAATGACAAATAACTGAGCTTGATAAAAAGAACAGTTCATTTCTGATATAATTTTTACTATACATAAGCTCAGTGATCAGTAAATGAAACAAGTTAGAAGAAATTATTTCACCTTGGACATGACACTCTGCTCATCTAAAAAGAAAGCCACTGTGGCCTTAGACTCCTACTGTTGAATTAATATGGTCCTCCACGTTTCTCATTTGAAGCTCTAGCCCTCATTCCTTGATTCTGGGCTATCCTGTGATCAATCATGTCTCTGTCTCTCTCTTTGTCTCTCCCTTAACCCCTCCTTGCCTGCCTGCCTGAGAGACTGCCTAGCTTAGCTGAATGCAGGTTTAAATCCAAGCAAGACCCAAAGAACAAGGGAATCACAAAACCACGGAACAACTGTGTGAAACAACTAAGTCTAGGAATAGTTTTTTAGTCAATAAATATGCAAATCCCATCTCTGACCCAAGTGCTCACAAAATTCCTCTTCTGATCCCACTGCCCACCATGATCCTCCTAACTCCAAGCAACAGCCTCAGTAACTTGCGCTTCAGTAGGTATCATTCCAGTGTGAGCTTTAGACAGGTTCTATCATTATTTGCAAACTAATTAATTACTTTCAATTAAGACAGGATCTCACCGTGTTGTCCAGCCTTGAACTTGTCATGCTCCTGCTTCTGCTACCATGTCTAGCTCCTCACAAAGTTTAGTTATAATCTCTTTGCTTTCCAGAAGGTATGGGAGTGAATGGCAATTTAAAGAGAATTGAGGTCTTCTATGATTTTGCGATGTTTACCACCTTAATCATTTCTCTCTCACACGTCAGTTCGGCCACCCCCATCATTAAAAGCCAACACTTTGGATTTTATGATTCCTAATACAGAATTACCCATTCTTCTAATACCAACTCAGCATACATTTTCTTTATATTCATATCCATGGTTAGCTAACAAGCTGCCATTCTCCCATAAAAGACTTTAACAAGGTATATCTTACTCTTATTTTTGTGCCAAGCACAGTGCTGTGTGGTAGACAGATAAATATTTGATTTACATTCACTTGTTCAATCAAATTCAATCACTCTATGTTTGTTTGTTTTCTAGAGTGGTCCCTATGTAGCCCTGGCTGGCCTTGAACTCAGAGGCCTGAGTGCTGGGATTAGAGGCGTGTGCTATTACACATGGCTCACCTCTGTATTTTAAGCTCAGTCATCAGTTTGAAAGACAAATGAAGAGCAACCTGAAAAACTCTAGTTGTGTTATCACAACAGAAGACCGACCTTATTCCCATTGAGGAGAGAAACTACTATCAGATATAGCCTTGCACAACACCAACCAAACCAGTTTAAGTCATACTGCTGTAAAACCACACCCCTTTACAAAAGACACAGTAGGTGGAAGGAGCAAAGGGGGTTGGGGAAGGCAAGTTAGTCTGGGCTAATCCAAGGTCTACTGAAATAGGCAGACCTTGATGGCAACTTTTCCAAACAGCAGTATGCCCACACAGATCAAGTCTGCTTTTAGCAAAGAACTGAGAACTTTCCTTCCAGAAGTGCTTACATAGCTGTAATATACTTGCCCATCTGCTCACCTGGCAGGCCTTGGTTTCTCTATCTTTGAAATGGCATTTCATCAGTATAATCTTTTAAAAATCATTTTTAGTACCAGAAAGTTTTCATTCTGGTTTTTGGTCACAAGGGAGAGTCTGACCTACTGTGCTTGCTCCTTAGCCGACAAGCATGCCCGAGGCCATCTACAGAACTCCGAGGCTCTCTTAAACTTACCTGGACACCTGGTTTGAAAGGACCAAAGCTTCTACTGACACAATGCTCACTCAGGTGAGTAGCAATCCACAAAGTTATTAATTATTTCAAACTCACGCTCAAAAAGATAAATTGAGGTAACTGATGCTACTTAAAATATTTTAAAGGATGAGCATGTTCAAGCTAGTAAGTCCTAAGTTTTTTGTGTCTGGCAACAGATTTTAAGTAGCCAGTGGAAACTTAGATCGGAGGACTCAGGATGAATTTCTTCAGAAGATACAGTGATTGTGCATTATGTTTAGCAATAATGTGTGTGCCTTTGCAGAGGCAAAGGGAGGGTGATGAGCTTCCTCCTCTGTGCTCTGCCTTGTTGCCTTGAGGAGACTGAGATCTTGAAGTTGGAGTTTGATGGTTTTTGGTGACGCTGGTAGCCGGGTAAGCTCCAGCAACTTCCCGTTCTTGCCCCGCCCAACATTGGGGTTGCAGGTGCACATGGCCTTGCCTGACTTGTGTGGACACTGAATCCTGGAGTTCAGATTGTCATACTGGTGCAGCCCCGTCTATAGCCCCATTTGTTTAATAGTTTTTTAGTTTATTTTATTTTTTTCTTATCAGTTACATTTTATTAACTCTCTATCCCAGCCATGTCCGGATCCCTCATTCCCTCCCAGTCCCTCCCTCCCTCATCTCCACCGTGCCCCTTGCCAAGTCCACTGATAGGGGGGACCTCCTCCCCATTCATCTGATCCTGTTTTATCAAGTATCTTCAGGACTGGCTGCAAAGCTCTCCTCTGTGGCCTAACAGGACTGCTCCTCCCTTGGGGGGTGGGGAGGCCAAAGAGCCAGTCATTGAGTTCCTGATAGAAATAGTCCTTGTTCCCCTCACTATGGGAAACCAATTGGTTACTGAGCTACCACAGGCTACATCTGAGCAGAGGTTCTAGGTTACATTCATACATGGTCCTTGGTTGCATGTCAGTCTCAGAAAAGACCCTGTGCCCAGATATATTTGGTCCTTGTGGAGCTCCTATCCTTTCCTCATCAGACTAACTCCCCTTCTTTCTTATGATTCCCTGTACTCTGCCAAAGGTTTGGTCATGAGTCTTTGCTTTGAGAACACTGCTAGTTAGAGTCTTTCAAATGCGCTCAATAGACTCCTGTCATATGTTCAATGCGCATCCCATCTGTCTTTCTAAATGAGGATTGATAATCTTGTTTAATAGTTTTTTATTAAAACTGGTATTTATCAAAGGAGGGGAACAAATGCTAATTATGTATTACTAGTCACCACCCTGTGATCGAACTTTTTTTAATTCCTCTTAACTTTGTGGTTTCTTAGTAAAATATACAAAGATAAAAATGATTAAATAGTCACTTTCAGAAGAGAATAAGGAAAACTTTCTAAGGGGCAAGATGAAGCACTAATTATTTAATCATTTTTTTCCCTTTTCCATGTTTGAAAGTAATGTCTAATTGAGTGGAAGAAAAGGTAACGAATCAGAGAAGATTTGACAGAATAGGATATGGTCAACTCTTCACGAGAAGAGAGGAGGCAGTTTTACTGGGGCAGTAACAGAGAGAATTCTGGTGAAGACCAAGCATGAGACTAAGAAGGATCCAGGAAATTAGAGCAGATTGCTGGAGATAGTTTGAAGCCAAGCAGAACAATTCAGAGGCTGAGAGAAAAGCCAGCCCTGAGCCCAGAAAAAACTAGGTAGGGCGAGCTTATTATTAAGCAGTAAGTCTCAGAGGCTGAGCACATTCTAGGCCTTGATTAGATCATATGGAAGCTAGAGGCTTCCAAGACTAGGCCTAGGTTAGCAGAAGGAGGCAATAAGCCTCCCAGACAACAACTGAACCAGGAGAATAAAAGCTCATTTTACAAAACATATTTCAAACATATTCTTGGGTCTATTTTTCCAAAATCTTACTTTATGCAGTGTAACAACAAATTACTTTCATCAATGCTGAAATGCTGATGTTAACTATATAAACACCAGTCAGTGACCATGGTGTTTGATTGTTGCATGCTGGGTTATTTCCTTCACAGATGAACTATTATAGTAATCCATCAAGAAGCTAGATATCTTCATTAACACTGTGACTGTGGCAATGAGGAACCACTTAGAGATACATATAAGGAGCCTTCCCCCACTACACCAAAAAAGCAAGAAACAAAAATCAGACTACCAATGTACCCTTTTTTTTGATTTATAAATTAAACAGTGGGAACACAGAATCATGTCTATATTTCGATTAGAAGCTAAAAAAAAAAAAAAAATCAGTGAAGGAATTGACTGTAATTGAAAATAATGTCCACTGGAAGCCTGCAGTTAGTAAGGATGGAGCTGGGCTGCACTTCTCCCTGTGCCCTGAGCTAGCATACACGGAGAATGACAAGGGATCAGTGGGTCTGGGGTAGTAGCCATTATGGAAGTGGAAACAGGACAGCCAATTCAAGGCCTGCCTGAGTAACTTAGTAAGGCCTCGCCTCAAAAAAACTTTTTGAAGAAAGAGCTGACGGTGTAGTTTAGTGGGAGAGTTGCCTAGTGTGCACTAAGCCCTGGATTCCAGCCCCAGTGGTGCCAAAAAAACAAAAACAATTTTAAGACAGATGTCAACTGGGCTTTAAGTAATCACTATCGGCCATTTGATTTAGACAGAATCTCCTACAATCAGACTTTATTGGAAAGACCTAAAAGATCACTGATGAGGAAGCTGAAGCAGAAATTAACTGCACATTATACAGCCTTACTAATGGCAAGCCACCAGATTCTAGTTCAGTACCTTCAATCACCACTAAAACAGAATTGTGAACTCTGAAACCCAGCAACCCCTCTCACCTCAATCCAGTTGGTAAGCCAGTAGCACTCTGGGTCGGTATTTTCCACTGTGAACAGCACGTTCCCTCTGGGGATGACTGAGCCCTCAGGAACAGCCTTTACTTCAATTGGGAGATGACCATCATATTTCTGGCAGGAGACAATACATCCATTTATTCAACAGGCGATATGCAGCTGCCTGTTGTATTAAGTATTTTTTTACATTTTATGGAAACTAATTTTTTTTACCACTGCAGAAGGTACAGATCTCGTTACTCGAGTATCCTGCAGGTTCTAAAGGGAGTGGAAGTGATAACAATTTAGGCACCAATCCAACTCTTTAAATTCATGCTGTTTTTGCTAAGAACACCTACCACTTATGATCAACACTGATCAAAACAGCATTCCCAGACTTGTTCAGAAAAGTGAAAAAGTTCAAACTAAGATACTATAAAACATGCACAAACCAATGTGTTTTACATTTTCACACATGAAGAAAGAAGGAAGATTAAACACTACTGTTAAAGAACACATGACGAAAGCAAATTACTAGAGAGGACTTAAGTTTTAACTTTTTTTCTGGAAATACTTTTAAAACCACGAAGAGCCTGACATTGAACACTGAAGTATAGGTTACTGACCCCATAACTTCATGTATGTGAATTGGTTCCCAGATGACGAACTTTTTGGGGAGAAGTAAGAAGTATGGCCTGGTTGGAGGAAGAGTGTCACTGGGGAGTAGACTTTTTCCTGTGCCTTGTGGAGAGGGATGTAAGCTCTTAGCTACTGCTCCATTAGCTCCCTGCCACGGTGATGGTTACAGAACTCAACTTCTGAAACTGTATGGTCTAATAAACTCTTCTGTAAGTTGCTTTCCTTGGTCATGGTCTCTTAGCACAGCGACAGGACAAGAACTAGGCCACAGCCCCCACTCTAACCTTTTCTCAAGCTGAAAGCTATAGTCAACCCTGTATACAAGGCAAGCTGTTACGGGAATCCTAAGAGTTTATGTGACTCAAGACACAGCATTGACCTGAGAAAAAAGCTATGTACAATGAAACCCTAGAGGCATCAAGATGTAGCAGAAGAACTTTACAAATCCTGGTTTGATCCCAAACGCCTCTGCAAGACCTTGGGGAGTCATTTAACACCTCTAGACCTGATGACAAATTGGGCTAGACCAGATTATGTCTAGTGAGCCCTAAGACTTCCTGAACACATCATCAAAAGACTGGGCACTAGAAATTACAGACTCCTCACTGCATACTACCTTCACAAGCCTCACAGAAGGGAGTAATGGCAAGTGCCCATTAGTTAGTACAGCCTACATACTCACTTAGATATGCAATATGCTGTGGTTCTCTGACTTTGACAAAGACACACAGGTACATCATTTTAGCATCAGGGCAAAAAATTCATTTTACTATAGGCAAGAAAGTTACAGGTATTTCTAATTGCTATGGGTTTGAAACTCTACATAACATATTCCAGTCTTAGTGTAGTGTAGTAATACCAATTCTCAGTATTTGGATGCTCAGGACATTATAGTAAAGTTAAAAATGAGCATCAACTCCAAAGAGCAACACCAAATTATTCTGACTCTTGGTGAGGAAAAAGTTCCCAACATTATTATGTTGCAGTTAATTCATAGCACCTATTTTCACTTGAGGAACTTAAAAATAACTTTTGAAACTGCCCATTAACCATTCCCTTTAAGAATTAGTAGTTAATCTCTTTTTTAAGGTATATTTTTCAGAAATATATTAAATTACCTTTCAAAAACATGAGTTACTTAAATTCTAAGTCACAGAGCATATTATTTACATCTATGGTAAACTATGTTAATGATTCACACTACAGGAGATAACCAAATGTTACCTACAGTTTTTTGTAAGAATATCTAGAAATAACCATCATATTTAGATCATCAACCAAAAGCTTTAGTGTTAGCTGAGTTTTCTAGCCAAATTCCATGGCAAGAAATTTTGAATTAAAACAAAAACTCAAACAGATAAAAACTGAGGGCCAACTTTACCTCAAGAATGTAGTTCCATCCTCTTTCATTAAAGACATCATCTTGGAAATGCTCTTTGTATACTTCTTTGGCCTCCTGGATTTTCTCTTTGGTCACTACTTTACCTGGAAGGACACATGGGTCTTGCTTATGTTCTGAAATTCACTCTCACTTGCTAAGTCACCATAGCAGTATCTTTCGCTCTCTCACCCACTTCATGATTGAAAGGAACACAGAAGAGAAACGAGCTTCACCAGGCCAAGGGCAGATTCAGAAGAGGAACCTGTACTTCCAGGAGTTCACCCTAAGCATAAATGCTCAGGCTCCTAAATGAAGCTCTCAGGAAGCCAAGGTAGGAGGATCATGAGTTTTAAAGCCAGCTTGGGTTACATGGTGAGACTGTCTTAAAAAATGAAAACCAACAAGTAGAGAACAGAAAATCACTTGCATAGCATCAAACAAAACAAATCAACCCCATCTCTAATGCTTTTGGAGATTCTTTAAATTTAAGCTAGCCAATAGCTTAATTCCCAGTTGAACTTTCTTCAGACATGCCTCTGGGGCTTGGAAATCAGTAATTTTTACAGTTACTGTCTACACCCACCCCCATTATTAGCTTGCTTTTCTTATCTGTACAAAGAAGATAAAGGTATAGTACCTACTTACGGGATGGTGCTAGGAAATAAACAGCTTAAGATACACAACAAAGTACAAAACACTGGCCCAGACCAATTTCTTAAACCATTGATAGGAATGTATAACCAGTTTTATAAAAATCTCACAATAGTAAAAACTTCTGAATGTACAAGCATCAAAAGTTAATTTAAAACCAAAGGTGGGCTTTGGCCATGTTCACCTGTGTTGAACACACATGTGTCCACTGTATGTGCATGCTGCCATGCCATACAATGTCAACAACTGCAGCTTAAAATATCTTGCTCAGCTTCAAGACTGTTACAAAGTGCAGGATTCTTAAGTGTATATAAAACTCTCTGCTCTTACAGAAACATAACAGTTTAACTCCAGAAGAAGTGTGTTTAGACCACTTCATAAATTGGTGGAAGTCCTGTCCTAATCCCAAGCCAAATGCATACAAGAATTTTTTATGAAACTCTGATCAGCAACTTAACAGCAATTTTTCAAATCAAACACTAACACTATACAGTACAAAAAATGATTTTCTGGATCAATAATAAATCTCTTGTTCTGAGTGAATGGCTGTCTAGGAGTAAACTATAATGGCCTGAGAATATTACTACTGACTGTCCTAAACTTTCTTTGGAAACACATCAGTTTGGAAAACCTTTCTCTAACACAAGCACGCGCATGTACATGCACACACACACAGTCACCAAATTCTAAGATTTAATGCATTTAATGCATTCAAATTAATGGGTCAAATGTTTGTAAAAGAGGGCAAGCATGGAGGTCGCTCAACACTGTAATATTAACACTTGGGAGGCTGAGGCAAGAGACTGCTGTCAATCTGGGGACAGCCTGAGCTACTCAAAGAATATAAGGCCAGCCTAGGCTAGAGGGTACGGTCTTGTCTCAAAAACAAAAGAAAACATTTAAACAACACCTAAAGTGATGATCAAATGTAATTAAACACCAAAATTAGTTACTCAAAAAGTCATTTCAAATAACAGAACATAACAATATAGAAAAAAATGAAGTCACATAAAAAGCAATGTTTTAAATGTACTGGGAAAAGCAATACCTTTTAAGTACTTATTAAGAATGTACTGCAACCCATAAAATACTGTTTCCTCGTATTTCACCTTCCTTACTTTGGAGTTTTCTGTCTTCTTTTCGCGGCATTCAAAGTACGAATAAACTTTGCTTGTGTTGGGTGGGTATTGTTTATAGTGAGTAACCTATATAAAGAAAAACACTTTCATTAGGAAGCACTAAGAGTAGAATTAAAGCCTTCAAATTATTTCTAAATCAGACTGTTTCTTACTTGCTACTGGTCAGCCTCCCACCCTGGCTGCACAGAGCAAGACACAGCGTATCACCACAATCCTTCTAACAATCCCTTATCTTACAGTCAAAACAAGTGATTGAGAGATCACTCTTAAGTGGGTTCGAAGTCCTTAGGGCAGAAAGAGTTACTTGGTCTTAGGGTGCAGCTTCTCCTGCAGTCTGAGGTACACAATCATTTCAAGCAGACCAGGGTGGCCAATTCAGATAGATTGAGCACGTGTTTGCTCTCAGTGAAATGCTTGAGACTGGAGACACTTCAAAGCTGGGTTTTGGAATACTCAACTGTACTTGTACTTTGGGGCTAGGACCTGCCTAGATGAGGAAAATACTTCCATCATTTGTCTGTGTGGTGTATATGCCCCACATACATGCGCATGCTGGTGTGGGGAGGCCAGGGGTTGAGTTCAGAGTTTTGAGATAGGAGCTCTCATCAAACTGCGAGCTCATCAATTCGGCTGCCAGCCAACCAGGGCTCTCCGGCCTCTGCTTCCCCGCCACTTGTACTGTAAGCATGTGCCAACATGCCTGGCTTTTCATGTCAGGTGCTGGAGATCAAACCTGGGTCCTCAGGTTCCTGCAGCAAACATTGTGACTGTGTCTTGTGACTTATGAGGTCAGGTTTGGAATTTTGCTTCCATGACATCCATGCTCAAGACATTTTGAGTTTTGAATCAGGACTGCCCAACCTATACCATTACTATCTAATGTTCCGAGTGCAGTAAGTCGGTGTCTGCTCGTGGCTGCCACGGTGTTCCACAGAAACTTGGATGAAAGCAACAGCAGCAGCAAAAATAAGTAATGAAAAGCAAATAGCCTGTTTTGGGGGCTGTTGAGATGGCTCAGTAGGAAAGGTATTTGCTGCTAATGACTGACAATATGAGTTGGACCCCCAATAGGCGAGAACAGATTACTGCATTGCCATTCTCTGACCTCCACATGAACACCTAACACGTGCCCCTCCACACACATCTAAGAACAAAAACAGAGCCTTCCACTTTGTTACTTCTCAAACTGCTTCCTGACTGAATAGTAAGTTACTACACGAGCCAACGCTCATGAGTTTAAGAACATCAAAGCCTTTTTTAAAAGAATCAGTTCCTATTCTATGAATTTGGTAAGAGCCACTGTTAAAAACTTAGCAACTTCCAGTTTTAGAAAAAGTTATTCACTAGACTTTCAATTTTATTTTAGTGTTTTTGCCACACTAAGGTAACTAAATGTATGGATGATGCATTTATTTGTAAATTTACAAACTTACAAGTAAATGATTAGTAGAGCAGTATGTGTTACAAAGCGGAAAGAATAGAAAGAGAAGCTTTAAAATGGTACGTAGAGTGTAGTGAACCCAGAGAAGCTTTCAAATGGCAGATCATACCATGTAGACCCGGCGCCACAGGTGACCACAATCCATACCACATTCCCTTTGGAGCTATGACTTCAAGTTTAGGAAAGCCAGGGTTTCTTTGGCTGCACAATCTCAATCTCAGTGAAGCCTGGTCTAGTCTAAAGAATCTTTGTAGCTCGGCACTAGCATTGTAAAATATATTTCCACTGTCATCTCTGACAGACCATCCTCGGTGCTCCCTTTGCACTGAGGCAAGCTTGCAGCTTCCCTTCCGCTGCATACAGGCAAAGGCGAGTGTGGGAAAATCTCTACAGTGACACAGACTTTGAAAGCCTGAGTCCTGCAGGAGGCTTGCGGCTCCGTTTTGTTTAGGCACAGCAGAAAAACATAATAAAAGGCTCAGGAACCCATGGACTGATATCACTGTCAGTTTAAAGAAAGCTCCGAAAAACCAAGTAAGAAAGCTAAACAGAACCCACAGTAATTAAACCTATTAATCTACCACAGTGCAAACAAAACAGACAAACAAAACCCAAGGTAAGTATAGTTATAAATGATGATTTGGTAACATTTAAGCTTGCTAGGAATAAAAGATAACCCACACTTAAAATATACCCAAGATGTATGTAAATCACAATGTCCTCCAAGCTACAAGCTGGTAACGCTGACTCTTTGAGGAAACTAGGTACTAAAGAAGGAGAAAAGGAAAAATGAAATTCAGGTCTGGCTCACACAGTATACACTATAAAACTCAGGCTCAGAGCCGTACTTCATGCATCCCCCTTGACCTGAGTTTTGACCTTTACGGTTCCTATACTTAGCAGTGTATCTGCTACCAGATTTTATAATTATAAGGCAGGCTGGGGGAAGGGTCAACACTCGCTGCCCAAGCAGGAGGACCATTTGGATCTCTGGCACCCATATAAATGTAACCAGGTGTGGTGGTCCAACTCAATTCTGGAACTGGGAGGTGTAGACAGGGTCCACCGAACAAGCTGGCTAGCTAGGACTACCCAAACTATAGATCTCTGGGCTCAAGGGAGAACCCACTTCTATATATTATTTTGGAGAACAATTGAGGAAGATAGAGGACATTAATCTCTGGCCTCCACACATATTCATACACCATGTCTGTAGGAACGGAATAGCTCAGAGCACACAAACATGCATACACATACCACATAAATACAATTATACAAGGCAAATTAATTAATTTTCTGAACGTGCAGGAGCGAAAAGTTGAATGGAAACATGTCTAATATAACTCCACCAGGGTCTAAAATTATAAAAAAAAATTCCATCATACCAATGCAGTTATACTTCTGTAAAATAACAGTTATAAAATTTAAAGCCCCTACTTTATGTGTATGGGTGTTGTGTACCTTGCGTGTGTCTGCGTACCACATTCATGCAGTGACTGAGGAGGCCAGGAGAGGGCATCAGATCTCCTGGAACTGGACTTCCAAAGGGTTGAGTCACCATGTGGACGCTTGGAACTGAACTCTTTACAATAGCAGCCAGTGTTCTATATTGCTGAGCCGTGTCTTCATCCACAAGCATTTAATTTTTTTAAGCTTTGTTTAGCATACTTTAAAAAAAAAAATAGTGCTTCATAACCGACTTTTCCCTAAATATTCAGAATGTTTCCTATGTTAAAAAAAGATACCATTATTTCTAAGTTGCATAGGCTGTTGAACTAGAAGCGAATCATATTCTACAATTAAGAGAAATTTAAAAGAATTATTTTAGAGAATACAGGTTAAGAGTGTAAACTATCTAGGCAAATTCATGGGTAATTAATCACGAAAGAGAACTGTTAACCTCTGAACACCCTGCATGCTGTTGGGTAAAGTACAGAATGCTTTGGTCCGTGGGACTGCTAAGGTCGGAAGAGGTGAGATCATACATAGATAGGCACAGGTGCTGAGAAGGGGCTCCTGCTGTGTAGTAAATACACTGGAAGCCATGATGATTTAAGCTGGGGTAAACAGAACGTAATCTGCATGCCCCCCCCCCCCCCCCTGATGCCAGGAAATCGAATCTAGGCCTTACATATGGTAAGTGTATGTTCTAACACTGAGCTACAACTCCTGGACCCTCCTCACAAGTTACAAGTCTGGGGGCTTGGGGAGGAGAGGTGGCGCAGCTGGAAGTGTGTAACACAACAATATAAAACAACCAATCTCATAATAAGGGGAATATGATTACAGGATGCTCAGAGCAGAGCCAGGAATTAAGTTACTGCACACAACTACGTCAGATGAGAAAACAGGCCTACCTAGGATTTTTGGAGGTAAAAGGGAATTAGACTTGGACATGGAGTGTAATGAGACTTTACAAATACCTCCTAGAGTTAGGCTTGAACAACCGGGTTAACAACGGTATCATTAAGCCACGCCTGTGAGCCCAGCACTCAGGTAAGGCAGGAAGAATGCCTTAAGCCAAAGGCCAGCCAGGGCTACCTAGTGAGGCACACAGCAAACCCTACTTTAGTCCCTCCTCAAGACTATGGAAGGAATGAGCAGGAAAATCAAGAGCTCAGTGTTCAAGGTTAAGCAATACTCATCAGTTTTATATGCTCATAATAAAGCCTACGAGAAGAAAGTTTTTGGCTCCGGTTAACTTCTGTACTGCTTTGACTTCTGTTGCGTGTGAGAAATAGAAAATTCTTCACACTCCCAGCAACCTCACTAGTAAATGTTCCTATACTGGCAGGGCCCCCAAGGCTCAAGGAGCACCCTGAAGAACAATGGGAGCCCATGACAATAGCCTTTTAACAAAACTTCATCCCACTTGCTTTCCTGATGAAAAGATAAGCTCAGGTTCTGGAGAGACAGCTCAGAGGTTAGTGAAGAGCACTGGTGTTCAATTCCCAGCACCCATATGGCAAGTCAAAACTGTCTGTCATCCCAGTTCCAGGGAACCCAGAGACACCTAGCACACGTGTGGTACAGACATGCATGAAGGCAACATAGTCACACACACAAACGAAAAAAGTAGCCCCCTATAATGCTTCTACAATGACTAGGCGCCACACAGTAACTTTCACCGTGTAGAATAAAAAGGTTGCAGCCCCACGTTTTAACAGTGGGAACAGTCTCTAATGTGGGGAGTTAGCCAAGCAACCTCATCTATACATTCCACTCCCAAGGGCTTCTACCGTTGGCCTACTATGACTGTGGGGGCTGAGGATGGACGCGTACTTAAGGTAAGCAGAATCCTCCTGGGACAATGTAGTGGTTTGAATAGGTATGGGCTCATGCGTGCCTCTAAGAGTGCCACTATTAGGAAGTGTGGCCTTGTTGGAGTAGGTGTGGTCTTGTTGGAGGAAGTGTGTTATCTGTGGGGCCGGGCTTTGAGGTCTCTATGCTTAAGCTGCACCTATTATGACACATAGCTCTCCTTCTGCTGACTGAGGATCAAGATGTAGAACTCAGCTCCTCCAGCACCTTGTCTGCCTGAACGCTGCCATGCTTCCCACCATGATGATAATGGACTAACCTGAGACTGAAAGCCAGCCCCAATTAAACATTTTCCTTTATAGGAGTTGCCATGGTCATGATGTAGCAATAAAACCCTAACCAGTATGGGGAATTAGGAGTAATTTTCTTTAGATGTTTCTTTAAGGCATTCCATAGCTAGTCCTGAGATGGCTTCTCAAGATCTTTCCTCCTAAACTGGTATCTCATCACCAAAGGCAACTAGTACTTGCCTACTTTTTTCAGTTACACCTGTATTTTTAACTTTTCAGAAATAATTAAAAGCCAAGGTCTTCAGCATCAGAAAAGGATCCTCTAGCCCCATCCTGGCCGACTGACTCACTACAGCTAATGTATGAAAAGCAGCAAAAATAACCAGTTTAGCTTTTCAGGAGTTTTTAAGGTCTGTTCCGCCCTGGAAATTTGCAGCCACAGAAAAGAACTGATTGCTATTTAGCTCTGAAGCACAAACTACTTCATAAATACTTGCAGGAGTTGAGTCTCTTCTTCTACCACGTGGGTCCCTGCTTGATAGCGAGTATCTTTCTTTACCTGATCTTTCCAGCTCTACTGTTTTATTTCAATTGCCCAAATTTTCTCTACAATTTAAGAAGCTTATGTGAAAAAAATATATATATACAAAATGTCATCCTCTTTTTCGAGACAAGGTCTCATGTAGCCTAGCGTGGCTCAGACTTGATATGTAACCAAGGGTAGCCTCCCACCTCTACTTTCTCAGTGCTAAGATTACAGAGGTATGCCACTGACTGGCACAAATGTGTCTTTAAGGATACATCAGAAGAAAACATAGTCCTAGCAGTGCCCCTGTCACTCTTAAGCTCTGGTGTCATGGGTCCATGTTCCTAATCCTTCAGTATTTACTTAGAAGCACCAAAGAGGCAATTACAAAAAATGGGAACCAGTGAGAGGAAAACACTGGAAGTTCCACAGAACTAACTTGGTCATTTGATTCATCTCTCTAAATCTCTTCTGCAATAATGCTCAGCTTCCTGTGTTCGTCAGCCATTGGGTAACACAATATCTGACTGTTTCACTGTGACGAGAAAGTTAAGCAGTACGTGGAAGCGTCTTTGCCCTATGGGTTGTATCACACTGCTGTTTCCCTCCGTGTTCCTCCACTATGGGTTAGTGAATGACTAAGGTGCTGAGGTCCAGGCAGCTGGCCTAGGAGGCCTCTGAGAAGCAAGTTACCCTGGCAGCACATTTCATAGTGGTCTGATGGGACCTGAACATCGATGAAGGACTACTTTTGTGTATCCTGTCTTTTCCAGCCATAGCACAATGACAATGTCTTCTGCTAATCTGCTAGAGATAAAATGTTGAAAAATGTTAACACTATTCTCTGCTGTAGACGCTTACAAACAAAACGTATACAGTTTTGTGGAACCCAGAAGAAAAGCATCTTTTACTGCTTCTCAGTTATTTGGAAACTGATGATCCCAGAGGTAAGCTAAAAAGAAAAACCATGTCTCCTTTACAGGAAAAGTCCTGAATGCAACCCAACCATTGCAATGACTGGACTGTTCACACCCATCTTCCCTAGCTGGGTTAGTGCAATGCCACTAAAGCTGGGTAGGAACTGTGCCTTAAGCCATTCTGAAAATATAAATGATTGAAGATGTTAGAGCAGGCCCTTTTTATTTGAAAAAAGAAATCTTGATGAAACCGAAGAGCTGCATTTGCCTATGTTCTCAGCTCCTTATTACACATAATGAAATACGAGATCACAGAAGTGAAGTGTTTCAAATGCTTCTCCACTGGTCCCAAGTGTTCCGCCCTCTCTTAAGGACACTGTGAAAATGCATCCCACATGCTGCTATATGCTTGGCCACCGCCCTATGTACTGACAAGAATATGTAATTTCCAGAGAAAAGAATTTTCATTACTTGTAATCTCAAGTACAGCATTTTTGGCTATCTCTCTTCCTAAGTTAAAAAGGCAAAAAGGATAAATACTTCATATCAGTGTAATGAGACTGGGCAGAAATAAAATTTATATGAAAATTATAATCCTGCAGATAATCATGACTTGCTAGGAGGTTAGAAAAGCTTTAAGATTCTTTATTAAGTAAAAGTGTCTCCAAAGTCTCCAAAAACCACCAAAACCTGCTGCTAAAGCAGCTTCACATTTGATATTCACCACAGTCAAAGGAGCTACTGCTTTCTTTCTAAGATACGGAGCTCTGGCTGTCCCTAACTGCTATAGAGAGCATACTAGTCTGTACCTCACAGCAATCGACCTCTCTGACCTCTGAGTGTTGGGCTTAAGATGAGCTCTTCCAGGCTTGACCTTTTTAAAGTTTGCACTTAATATCTGTTTATGTTTCCCATGAAAATTCAATCATTTCATACATAATACAGTAAATATCTGAAAATAATTTTGACATAGTTAAATTTTACAAAACTATGAACCACTTTTCTAAAATCACTAAGGATGTCCCTAAACCTCAATTGAACTAAAACAAGCAGAGGTTTTTTGTTTGTTTTTTTGTTTTTTGAGTCTCAAGTACCACAGTAGCAATGATAGCAATCTTGCAAAGGTGATTTCTACTTTAAAATTCCATCTGAAGCAGGGTGTGGTGGCACAAACCTTTTATCCTCAGGAGGCAGAGGCAGGCAGATCTCTGATGCTAGGTTCATCTACAAAACAAGTTCTAGGACAGCCAGGGCTGTTACATAGAAATTCTGCCTCTAAAAACTAACGTGAAATTATAAAATTATGTGAAAGACCACCTGTTAATAAATTTTGCATCTCTTAAAATGAAAACTCACCTACTTACAATAAATAGATTACTAAGAAATGGACAAACTAGAATTTAATCAAAATGAGACTTTCTGAAACACTCAGATTACAGGGTTAAAAAGTAAAAAGCAAAGAATCAAAACAAAAACACCAGAGTACTACACCTAATCACTACACTCAAAACCATCACGATGCTCAAGTAATTACTAAACTTGAAAGCTAAAATTTAATCTGTCCTAGTTCTAGACATCCTGGCCAACAAAACTTAACTTAAAGATCGAAGGGACATTTCCTCATCACTCCTCTCTTTGCTAAGGTGCGTTTCAAATGCGATTACTGCAAAAACCAAATCAATAGGCACCTTAAAGTAAATGTGCCATTTCCCTCCCTACAAGTTCTCCTGGGTTAAAACTCCAGTTCCTTTACCTCCTGGTGTTTCACTTTCCTTTTCACAGAAATCCTGTAGTGACCCTGAAGGGCCAGAGCACATTGGCCTCTGCAAGCAGGGCCAACCACGTGAAGGATCCCTAGGTGCAAAGGAGTTTGAAATGCAGCCCAGAGGAGTGGGGCGGCTGAATTCCAGGGGTCGGGTCTGTCCTCCACGCTGGGGGCCGCTGGCTGGGTGCCGGGCACGCCGCCAGGACCTCTCCCCGCGCTCCCCGGGGCAGGAACGTACCTGCCCAGCCTGGCGCCGTTACCTAACCAGCCCGATGGCCGAGCTGTCTCAACCAGCGCACCCGGCAGGGGAGCCAAGGCCGCCGCCGGCGACCGGAGCGGCAGCGTGCACCCATCCCGCCGAGCCTCCGGCCGCGCCCCCGCCGCGGCGCAGGCCCCGCCTCCGGCCCGCGCCTCCATCCTTCAGCCGCCGCGTTGCGGCTCCTCCACCTGCCCCATCCCGCCGCCCCCCGGCCCCGGGGCCCCATCGCAGCTCCACCTTGTACGAGTCGGTGGCCAGCAGGATGTTGAACTCGGCTTCTGCGGCAGCATTCATCTCGGGCCGGAGCGGAGGCGCCGCGCCACGAGCTGCCCGGCGCGGGTGCGAGCTGGGAGAAAAATGGGCTTCGCTGCGCTCCGTTGCTTAAGTCACCGCTCGCTCGCTCGCGGGGGAGGGGGCGGGGGACGGGAGAGCCGGGAACGGAGCGCGGGGAGGGGCCGGGAGAGCGGGCGGGTCCGTGACGCGGCGGCGGAGGCTCGTGCGCTCCCCTGGCCCAGCGCTCCCGCGGCTTCCCCGCTCGGCCCGGCCCCGCCCACCCCGGGGACAAGGGGCGGGGCACGGCTGCGCGTGCGCAGCGCCGGGGCGGGGGGCCGAGGAGGACGTGAGGCACGCGCGCTGCCTCAGCGGCGCCCGCCCCAGGCCTGAGGCCGTCGGTCACCCCAGCGCGTGACCTGGCCGCCCGCCTCCGCGCCAGTCCTCCGGCTCCGAGGGGCGTGGCCTGAGGCGGGGCGTGGCCTGGGCGTTCCCAGCCTCGCCCCTCCCGCCGCGCGCCTCTTTGCCCGCCCCAACCCGGACCTTCCTCTTGTCCTACCCAGTCCCTGCTCGTCCTGGGAGTCTTGCTGGAGTCACGCCACCGGCTTGGGCCGCAGAGCCTCCCACTGTCGTCTCCCTGTTCCCGCACGCGCTGAATTACCTTTGTCTCCCTCTCGGAGTACAGATGGAACCTTCCCGTCCTGCCGATCTTGATCCTCTAGATTTTTCTTTAAAATCCGAGAAGCTGCCTGAGGTCTGAGTTGTCCTGCTGCGCGGACCCGCTTTCCTTCCCGCTCTGTCTGAAGCTGAGCGCCTTGATCCTCTGAAGGCTGCTTGACTTTTCCTGCAGAAAAGTCTAAACCGTCCTTTGCGTCTAAAGGGGAAGGTTAAAGTCAATCCTCCCGGACAGTGTAGGGACAGGACCAAATTGAATCTAATATTGTTGGGAAGTAAAAGGCGTCCAGCCAAGTCTTTGACGGTGGACCTGTTTTTTTGTTGTTGTTTATTTGTTTTGTTTTTCCTTTAAATCGTTAAATTCTGGGAATAGAGCTTGCAGCCACCCAAATAAGCGAATGACGTCTGATGACGTCATCCAATATCCTTGAAACCATCCTCTTGGTCCGTTTTCACATTCATAATTGCAGGGGGTTTTTTTTGCATAAAACTGTAAAACCAAAATTTCCTTTGCGTGTTTAATAGCATTTAACAATTGTAAGATTTAAGGTTTTTTTTTTTTTTTGGTTTGTTTTTTATAAAATCCAAGTATCAGGGGAAATTGGTTTAAGAAAACTGGCACAGACTGCATCAAGTTAGTAGCTTCCTGGAATCCATTTATCTACAATTGACCGCTGTTCGAGGCCGTTTTATGTAGGGGGAAAAAATAGGATTCTGATTACAAAGCAGTCTTTGTTTACGGCAGCGTTTTTAAAAAGCAAAATTTGATCTTGCAATCTTTGAAGTTGAGTTTTCTTGTATAAAAATGGGAAAGATTCAAAATGTAAAAATGTTAACATCGTAAGCATACTGACACAGCTAGTTAAAAAGATAGCAATGAAGTTGTCAGAGTTTGAATCTTAAATGTCACCCAAAGACCTATATGCTAATGTTGACTGCAGGCCTCTGACAAGTGGGAAGTGGCACAACTCTTAGGAGTTGGGGTCTGACTGGAGGTAGTTCCATAACTGAGGAGGTGGGAGATACTGGAACTCTGTCTCATTTCTTTCTCTGTGTCTTCTGGGTGAGATGGACCATGCCACCACAAGCACAAAGCAAGATGTCCACGAAACTGAGCAATGAAACTGTGAGCCAAAATAAACTCTTTCCTTGGCAGAGCTGATTTTCTCAGCTATATTGTAGAAGTGATGAAAGCTGACTGAAACCACCATGGTGGTCACAGACTCTAGCTTTCTGCAACTGTGATTCCTCAAGTTAAATGCTTTCCTTTATAAGTTCTCTTGGTCATGGTGTTCTGTCACTACAATAAAAAAGTAACAATGGGAACAAATATAGCAGAGCTAAAATGTTTAGGTTCACCTTTAAAGGGAAGGTAAATATGCATATGTCGCAATGTTATATGGGGTCCAGTTGTCATTATTAGAAATTTTGCTCACTTCTACTTGTCTAAGATTTAATAGTCCAAATCAATGACTGAGAAAATACCGCTAATTGGATTATTAAAGGATGTCAAGATCTTTTAACTTAGTATTTTTCTAAGTGAGATATGCTTATCACTTATGCTATAGGAGATGAATATTAATGGTGTCCAGAGAAGCATTCTTAATTTTAATAATTATTTTAAGGGATATTAGAAAAATATAACTTGCATATAGAATCTGACTTTGTTTAGGACTTTTAACTTAGAATGAATCCAAATGAAGGACACTCAGATGGTGAGATGTATTTTCTTTGAGTGTCCATAGCCTGTATTTGACATATTCTTGAAGAAACTGAACATGAATGATTACATGTTACACGAATTCTATATGAAATTCTAGAAAAGACAAAAATGTGGGAAAGAAAGCAGATTAATGGCTGTACTGGCTGAAGTGAAGGGAAGCAGAATCACTAGAATCTACACTAAAATTTGTGAATTGTAAGTAACTTCTATGTCTAAAACTGAACAAAGAACACCTTTCTTCTTTAAATGGTTCTGGATTCTGTCTCCTTGGCTCTTACCCCTGGACTTTATGTCTTCACTTCTCATTGTTTCCATCTCATTGTTTGCATGATTAGGCAATGAACACTATTTTGCCCTGATTAGATAAAGGATATTCCGGAATGTTTATACTATCCCAAAACCAAAAGAGTGAACATTCCTGCTATTAGGTATCAATTGGGACAAAGAATTAATCCTAATATTATCAACCCAAGAGGGAAATGTCAGCACCTGGCCCAGGCACCACACTGTACATTGAGGCACTAATGGTTTCAAAAGCAAACCTGTTAGCTACAAAGTAACTGCGATCTGCAGAGGGAGACAGAATCAGAGGTCATTCATTATCCCTGGCAGGCTCAACATCTGATTGTAAGATCAAGATAAAATTACACGTGAATATAACCCTTCTCTGCAGGAGGAACTTCTGGGGAACAGTTAAGGCTTGGATAGTTAATTTAGCCATTTTCCATGCTCTGTACTCTTCCAGGTAAAGGACTTGCCACCAGAGAAACCACAAGCTGCAGTGGTCTGGTTTTGGATCACTGCGTCCTTGCTTTCTATTTCACTCATCCCTCTCCCTGTACTTTAGCTCTGGTTCTCAAGACCTTTGCCCCAGACCCCAGTTTGCCCCATCTGCCTTGCTCTGTATTCTTACCATGTGTGTTAGACTTTTGGTACTGTGTAGACACCTGAGAGAAACAGTTTTAAAAGAGGAAATATTTATTTGGCTCATATTAACATCTCAGAGTTTTATTAAATTAAAATATTAAAATCTCAGAGTTTTCAGTCCATATCACTTGGCCTCGTGTTTTGGACTTAAAAGTGGGGAAGTGGACCATGGTGGAATGTGTGACAGGAAAGTTTCTCACCTCAAAGAAGCCAGAAATGGGGGTGAGGACAGCGAGGAGAAGGACACAAGGTTTAGTCCCAAGAACACGCCCTGATTTCCCACTGCTAGCGAGGCTCCAAATCATAATATTTCGATAACCTCACAAAATATTACCATTAGTTGACAAGCTTTCAACACATGGGCCAGTAGATAACATTTTATATTCAAACCATAACTTTCTACTCCTGGCCTCAAAGAGTAATGACCATCTCATAGTATGCAATGCATTTAGTCCATCTTCAAGAATCCTTAGTATCTCAGAAGTTCAAGTCCAGATTCTCTGCAGAACTCAAGACAAACATCGGGCTTTCAGATACAACAGCACAGAGTAAGCGTTCCCGAAACTAGAGCACAGAGATGAGGGATAGAAACAAAGCGAATCAGAGATATGGCAAAACAAAAATCAGGTCCTGCAGCTGCATAACTTCGTGTCTGGCAATTGGGGCGCACATTGGCAGGATGTGATCTCTAAGGCTTGGATGGTCATTCTTATTGTGGTGCATATGGTTTCTTCCTTATCCTGGCAAGTGTCCCATGTGCCCCACATCTACTCCATCTTCAGCTTTGCTCTTACAGCTTCACACGTCGTCTCTATAGGACTGGCTGTGAAATTCCAACCAAAGAGCACACTGACCGGTTTCTCAGGCTTTACTTGGTGGAAAAGCCTCTGTGATCCCATGACGTGCGTTCTGTATACCTATAAAACCAGCCTCATGCAGACAACACCAGCGCCTGCCCCTTGCTCCAGCTCCAGCTGGTTTCCTTTGGCCATGGTAGTAACAGCCTCTAAGAACCCGGGTATCTAAGCGTGGTCAAGTGACTCCTGGAAAAGCAACTTTCCATGTGAGAAGTGAGTAGTACATTCCAGTTCTGCTCCCTTTTCAAGGCTAATCTTTTAAAATGATTTTACACTTCTATACCCTGGAACTCAGATCAGTGGGATGAAGCCAGTTCCTGTGATGTCCTCAAAACATTGTCCTATTGTCCCAGTGCAGAATGATTGGCCTTTTCTAATTGCCTTTAATAACCACATCTTCCTTGTCCCTTTGAATTTGCTCCCTTTTTGCAAGACTACATGTTTTAAAATATTTTTTTTCTGCATTGTGCTTCTTATTATAAGTGTAAATGTTGCTGAAAGTGTCTGGTAGCAACAATACTAGCAGTGTGAATGCTGGATTGCCATGTCATTTCCTCTGTCACAGTAATTATTGCATCATTCTTAAGCTTAGCTTTACCCATGACTTACAGTGTGGACAAAATGTAGAGGAGTTTCACAGTGTTATATGAATGCTTCTAATTCAAATCACACAGATTTTTTACTTCTGTGTGAAACTTTGTAAGTATTTACTGTTTGTCCTTTTACCAGTACTCAGGTTTCTTTGTCTCCCAAGAGAATAGCCCTTAAGCTTTTATTACATTGTCAGCCTTCAAACTTTTCCAAATTCCTCTCGGCAAACTAATTCCAAAGGTTTATGAACTCTCTTGGAAGTAGACAGTTCCTAAGTGTTCAGTAGCCTCAGAGATATTAGCACTTGGTTGAGACACGTAAAGGGAAAGCTATTTCCTCCCGGTCAAAAGAATGGAATCTACCTCTGGCCCTGGACCTTCTGACCTGCTCTACAAACTAAAATAATACATATGATTTTCTCTTCCCCAGTTAATCTAACAGGACCTATCAATCACCTGGCCAAGAGACTATCCCACCCTAACCCAGAAAG